AGATTTAGTATTTTTGAATGGGGTGGGTTAACTTTGGATTGGGCTAATTTTGAGTGGACTACCAATACTATTTTTTTTTTTTTTAACTGAATATTCTATAAAATAACAAATACCAAAATTTCTTGAGGCTCTAACATGTGAAGAAATTTTGGATAGTTTTTTCAATATATGTGGGGTACATTAAAATAGGTATAGGGGCATTTTTGCTCGCATGTTTGAGCCTCAAGAAATTTTGGTATTTGTTTACTTTATAAAATATTCGGTTAAAATACGAGATGAAAAGAATTTGGCTACAATAATACTCCCTGCCCCCAGGGGCAGAGGGAAAGGAAGGCTGGCAGGGGCCATGGCCCCCCCTAATTGTTTGGAAATTTTTTTTAGTATAGGTAAAAATATACTAAAAATAAAATAGTATAACATATATGATATAAAATCTATAGTTGGCCCCCCTAAGAAAAAAAAAATTGTTTCTTTAATTAGCATTTAGCAAAAGATAGTTTATATATAATCTAAAAGAACGTGATTTAATTGATGATTATAGAACTGATAAAAATTTAATGTGGCTATCTTAAAATTTCAACTCAAATATCGTTCTTTTCATAATGTGACTATCTTAAATCATTCTAACTCAAGCATGATTCTTTCCATAACCTTATTATTCTTAAATTTCATCTCATAGATGATTCTTTCCATCACTTATTTATTTATTTTTTATTTTTTTATTTTTTTTATTGGAATGCTTTTATAAGAATTCTATAACAAATTAATTTTTACAAAATCGATGATTTAAGAATCTAAAGTCTTATTTTATTTTATTTTATTTTTTCCCGGCAAATAAAGAGAGTTATTTAATTGAATTTTTTTATAACTTTGGCATAAATCTTATTTGTGTTTGTTTAGAAAGTTTGATAAAAAATTTCTTTAAATACCTAATTTTTTTATTTAAATAAATTGAGAAAAATTTAGATAGATATATTTTTGTATGAATATAATAAATAGTAAAATTTTTTGCCTACATAATATATATATATATATATATTCAAAAGTTCTAGCTAGGTTGTTTATAATTTTGGCCCCCCTACCTCAAGATCCTGGTTCCGCTCCTGCCTGCCCCAAAATAGTTAATCGATTTGGAAAATCTAACTTCATATGATAATGGTGTTTTAATAGATTTTTTTATTTATTTTATTATTTGTATGGATAAGAGTTAATTTTCAAATATACTCATTTTAAAAGACAAAATAGTGTTCTTGTTTAGTTAAGAGGATAGTTTGAGAATGTTATAAAAACTAGTACATCCATCTTTAAAATGAGACAGTGTATTTTGAACATCCCAAAATGAAAGATAGACAAATATTTTGAGACTGAGTAAGTAAATAAAAAGGGCAAATAAGGTATTATTTGCATTTTGCACTAAACTCTCATTTTTTTATTTTTTTTTTGCCAAAAAACCCCCAATCAGCTATCCGAGGGGGTGATTTGACTAACAGAAGTTAACTGAAAGGGAGCTATTTAGATATTGAGTTTTTATATATATTTTCGAGACAAAAATGCCCCTATACCTATTTTAATATACCCCACATATGTATTTACTCCATTATCATTTTTAGTCGCATATCTTCCCCCATTGTAACAACACATACTCTTCTTATTGCTCAACTTCATTTATTTACCCATCATATATATATATATATATATATATATATATATATATATATGTATTTAATATATATAATATGTATCATAATATAATGGTATATATAATATGTACCATTAAATATTATTTATACAATATTTGCATTTTCATCCAGTTTTCAGACTTATATAAATCTAGGTTTTTCTTTGAAATTTATGTGCTGATTTTTTTATTTCATTTTATTTATTTATTTTTTTTTTTGAGAATTATATTGTGCATTCATTTCTTTTGTTTTTATTAGTTTTCACTTTACACAGATTTATTAAAGGGATTCATCTTCTACCACTACCAGAAATAATACCTATTTTTTTGCCTTTTTTTATTTATTTATTATTTATCCCTACATGTTTTTCTTCTTCTCCATTTTTTTTTTTTTTTTTTTTTTTAAGAAATAGGGTAAATTGCACTCACTTCCCGTGAGCTTTCGGTCAACGCCACTCAACGGACAATCAACACACAAGTTACATTGACACTCTTGAGGTTTCAAAAGTCATATTTACCCTCAGGTCTGTAAATTGACAAAAATAACCTCATTATATTATCATGTAACCCCCTCTCATCCACCACCACTACACACACCACTACAACCACCGTCACAACACACCACTACACCAAACACGCCTCCGGACTCGCCCAGCTTGTTGTGTCATCGTCACACAAATCCCCTCTCAGGTTCTCAAGCACCACCACCACTACACACACACACACACCATCACAACACATCGCCACACCAAACACGCCTCTGGACTCACCCAAATGGTTCGCGGCGAAGAAATTGTCGAAGTCACCAACTCCGACTAGGCCAAGATCGCCAAAATCGCTGGAGCTTGTTGTGTCATCGTCACACATCCCTTTCAAGGGGGCATTGCTTGCATGCCTGACTCATCTCTCATTAAAGAAATCAAGCGAGCAGTATACCTCTAACGGTGGCCGCGGCGGAGGCGGTGCCGACACCACCACAGTCTACGCCTCTGTTGATGTGACGAAGGTTGAATCAACGCTGCTAGTGCACACCTCACTTATTCTCCTTCAACGGCTCTGATTTGAACCAGAGAGTTCGTCATCGCCGATCTCTGAGCATTCAATCGTTCAACGGCTTCGATCTGATCTCGTGGCGTGACGGTCATCGGACGATTGGGATATTTGGATCTGTTGATTGAGAATCAAACGGATGACGACATCAACGAGAATCCGTGAAGGTCAATCTGGTGCCATAACGTGGTGGGGAGTCCACCGGACTAGCTTTGTGCTGCCGCCGTGCTTTGGGGGTGATGGTGATCTGGTTGTGCTGATGGGATGAATGAGAGGGTGGATTAATGGGTTAAAGGGCATTCAAGTCATTTTATAATTAAAAATTAATTGTTGATACTAATTAAAGGGCATTTTAGTCTTTTTAAGTTCGAGAGGGGTACGTGCGTATGCAATATTTTGAAATCTCATGGGTGTCAATGTAAACTTGTGCGTTATATTCATTCCATGTGACTAATGTAAACTTAACGATCATCGTGACATTATTATGGAATTATTTAACCCATGCTTTTGCAAACAAAATAATTTTTTTTTTAATTAAATAAAAGACTGCTTTCAAAACCTTATTTATTATATCCTCAATAGTCTAGTAAAATGTTAACATATTAAAAAAAAAAAAAAAAATCATTAGAAGTGTTAAATTCTATGAATGATGCCGTTTATATTATTTAATAATAAAAAAATATGACGACACCTACAAATTAGATTTTCAAATAAGCCTAATAGGTATTGAAGTCAATTTCTATTTCAATTTCCTTTCAACTAACATCCATTTGCTAAATCACTCCCTTTGGATAGTTGATAGGGTTTTTTTTGGCAAAATAAATAGAAAATGGAGGTTTAGTGCAAAATACAAATAGAAAAAAAGGGTTTAATGTAATTCACTCAATAAATTATAAAAGTAAGGCCTGTTTGTCCTGATAATATTTTTTAGGACTCCTTTGTCTTCAAAGCCTAAAAGTAGGACTAATAAGGAAATTTTTCTACTTTTATTCATGCACATTTTATTTTGCACCAAGAGTAAGAATAGATAAAATAAAAAAAAAAATAGGAATGGCAACGGGGCAGAGTTGGGGCGAATATAGCTAAACCTTACTCCGCCTCGTTAGAAAATTCGTCATACCAATTCCGGGACAAGTTTGTAATTAGTATACCATCCCCGCCCTATTCCGACAGACAAAGTACCGATTCCGTCCTGCGTATTTTATTTAATTACGGGGGCAGAGCGGGTTATGTTACTTTTATTATTTAGTTAAAAAAAAAAAAAAAAAAAATCACCCAATGTGCTCAAATTGGGTTGATAAATAAACCGACTCGACTTTTAAATTATTAAGTAGTGAATATTAAAATATTAACTAACACTTACAGCAAAGTAATAAGAGTCTTAAAAATATTAAATATATATTATATATATATATAAATTTTAAAAGTACATATATAATCGAGGCGGGAGTAGAGCAGATTTATCACTAAATCTGTCTCCGCCCCAAATCTACTTTGAGTTTACTTTGAGTTTTTAATTATTTTATTTTAATTTATCTGCTATTTGTTTATTACACAACCCCGTGGGGCTATCCATTTTGTTCACATTCAGTTTTTTTTTTTTTTTAAGTTAAAGTTGTTTACATTCAGTTGCTCCTACCTTACTAATATTAATATTAATGTTATTGCTGGCATTGTTATTATTATTGTTGTTATTATTAGTAAGCGTCAAATTAGGATGTTATATCAAAAAAATAAATAAATAAATAAATAAATAAATAGGATGTTATGAGATGCTTTAAAAAAAGTTGAATGTTGATATAACGTTGAGTTATTAGTCATTGAAAATCTTGAGTTATAGAGGCTTGGACCAAATTGTAGTCGGGAGAAATCATTTTTTACTCTTTGTTAGACTCATTAAAGTAGAATTAATAAAAAACAATAATTTGTAACGACATGAATTCTATTCGTTTGGTCTACCTGGTTTACATAAATACATGATAAATCCTTCCTTAAATTACAGATATATAACAATATAATATGCCCACAGGGATCACTTTCGCATCGGCCACCATCTACGGCCATATGGCTTGGATTAAAATATTTACCAACTCATCTTTATGTTTACAAACATGATTAAGATTCTTAATGTTTAATCTTCTTCTAGCAAATTGATTTTTTATTATCATTTCCCTCTGTAGAAATTAAAATGGAGAACATCATGCACTATATTTAATTATTTATTGCAGCCTTTATTTCACTTCTTACTTAAGAGTTTGACACACTCGATTTAATGTGTTGTAACCTTGATAGGAATGAGGCTGCCTATATTCAACGACTTGTTGATTATATTTCAAGTACATTGCAATGTAAAACATTCAAAGTTGCTGAACATGAAGTGGGTATTGATTCCCGTGCAAACAAGCTAATCATGAAGTTAAATGAAGAGAGATCAGAAGAGAGACTCTTTCTGGGGATTTATGGAAAGGGAGGAATTGGCAAGACAACTCTTGCCAAAGCTGTGTATAAACGAATAGCAAATGAGTTTGACTGTTCTTGTTTCCTTGAAAGTGTTAGAGAAAGGTCAAATCAACCCGATGGTATGGCTAAAGTACAAATAAAGCATCTTAGAGAGACCCTAATGGATAATAAAATAAACTCAGATTTGGTAGTCACAGAGATAAAGAATAGACTTGGAAACAAAAGGGTTCTTATAATTCTTGATGATGTAAATCATGAGAAACAATTAGCCAGTTTGGTTGGAATTCCATATAATTGGTTTGGTCCAGGAAGTAAAATCATCATAACAACCGGATATAAATGCTTGCTGGAAAAGAACAATGGTAAAACATTCGACATTGAGGCATTAAATGACAGGGAAGCACTTGAACTCTTCAGTTGGCATGCATTCCGGCGGAGTGAGCCTGTAGAGGAATATAAGGAACTTTCACAACGTGCAAAAGATTATGCCAATGGCCTTCCACTTGCTCTTGAAGTTTTGGGTTCCTGTGTCCGTCAAAGAAGCAAACCTGAGTGGTTAAGTATATTCGATAGGTTGAAGACCACACTTCCCATTCATGAAGTTCTAAAGTTAAGGTATGATGGCCTCGATAAGAAAGAGCAGAATATGTTGCTCGATTTGGCATGTTTCTTCAAAGGATATGACAAGGACCATGTAGGGGAAATTTATTGTGGTGTTTTAAAATATGACCCAATTTTTGGAATGCAAGTTCTTAATGAAAGTTGCCTCATTAATACATCAAAAGACAACAAGTTGTTGATACATGAGTCCATACAAGAAATGGGCAGAGAAATTGTTTGTCAAGAATCTGAAGAGCCTGGAAAACACAGCAGGGTGTAGGATTACGACTAAGCTTCTGAAATATTAACTGAACATACGGTATGTTTTAAATGCATAGTTTCTCCACATGCATACAGTATGTGTTAAATTCTTACTTTGTGAGGTACAATTATTATACATTATTATTTTTTGTTATCAGGTGACGGAAAATATTCAGAGCATTGTGTTTGACGGAAAAGGGACGTTCCATGTAAGTGCCCATGACTTCGAGAAGGTGAAGAAACTAAAATTTCTCAAAATCAGTGGTGTGTTACTTGATAGATGCCCCGCATCTCTTTCAAATCAGTTACCTTATCTTGAATGGAACGGTTACTCTCAAAAATATTTGCCACGCAATTTTCATCCAAAAAATCTTGTTCAACTTCGACTTCCTCACAGCCAACTCAAACAAATTTTCATGGACAAAAAGGTAAGCTTATAATTCTATATAAATAACACGTGATTCTCTGTCAATTATTTCCTCAATTTGTTTCATTAGTCCAAAGATAAATTAAAAGTCATAGATCTCAGGAAGTCTAAATATTTGGAGAAGAGTCCCATTTTTTCTGGGATGCCAAATTTGGAGGAATTGAATCTTCGAGATTGTAAGTCTGGTTGAGGTTCATCCGTCCATTGCATTTCATCAAAGTCTTGTTTCTTTGGATCTCCGTAAATGTGAAAATCTCAGAAGGCTCCCTGAAAGGGTTAATCTGATCTCTCTCAGATCCCTTGATCTCAGTGGCTGCTCAAAATTTAAGAAGTTTCCAGAGATCCAAGGACCCATGGATTGTTTGGAACAACTTTTTTTAGATGGCACTGCAATAGAAGATATACCTCCATCAGTTAAACATCTCAAAGGGCTCCAGGTTTTAAATCTGAAAGATTGCAAAAAGCTTGAAAGTTTGCCGAGCGAAATTGGTGAAATGAAGAGTTTAGAAGTTCTTTGGTTGGGAGGAAGTGGTATAAGAGAGTTACCACCATCCATAGCACAGTTGACTAACCTTAAAGAACTAGATTGGGAGCGCTGCAATTTATATGAAAGTTCCATTCTCATTGTCCCTCACTACTGTTCGTCATTGAAGAAGTTATTACTGGGCAGCAACAACTCTCTGGCTTACCACCAAGCTTCACTCAGCTCACAAATCTCCAGCGACTTTATTTAGATGGTTGTTTAAGCCTCAAAACCGTGAAGTCACTTCCATCGTCTATACGTTTTGTTCGTGCAAGAGGTTGTGTATCATTTGAACAGTATTCCATTCCAACAAGTGAAGGTAGTCCAGATGATCGACGATGGATTTTCACAGACTGCGTCAAACTGGGTAAGAATCATGGGAACAAACCATATATGTATTCAAAAAGTCAACTTATGTATATGTTTCTTAGAAACCATAGTGATAGTTTGTAACGTAGTCAATGAAATTTTTATCCACTTGATATAATGGGTGCGAATTCTATCCCTTACATCAAAGGAATCAAAACCTTTTAATATATAAATAAGTTAAAGAAATATGTCAAAAAATCATTTTGGAAGCTCAAATATTTCACTTTATCACATTTTCTTTATAAAATAAAGAATTATGATATTCAGAATCAAAGGAATTGAAATCGTTCCATATATAAATAAAATTTTTATTTAACGTAGTCAATGAAATTTTTATCCACTTGATATAGTGGGTGCGGATTCTATCCCTTACATCAAAGGAATCAAAACCTTTTAATATATAAATAAGTTAAAGAAATATGTCAAAAAATCATTTTGGAAGCTCAAATATTTCACTTTATCTCATTTTCTTTATAAAATAAAGAATTATGATATTCAGAATCAAAGGAATTGAAATCGTTCCATATATAAATAAGTTAGAGAAATGTGTCAAAAAAAATAATTTTGGAAGCTCCAATATTTTACTTTAATCACATTTTCTCTGTAAAATAAAGAATTATGATATTCTAACCCTCAATTTGGCGGATTGCAAAAACCGAGTAACTTTCAATAGTTAGATGCTTGAGCTCGGGACCCACAGCAGGAACGGAGGCAGCTAACGCCCACATGGGGCAGTTCCGCAACTTTTTTTTTTTCTTTTTATTTTATATATATGATTTCTTATAATAGCAAAAAATACCATATATGTTTGTAATATCACAAAATGCTGCCGAGTTTTGTTTTTAGTCTTTGTGTATATAGGTGCATATACAAGCCAAGAGTTGTGCCCCCTTAGTCCAAATCACTGCTCGGTCCCTATCCACACAAGTAAGGTGGTGTTCGGTTTTTGCAATCGGCCAAAGTAATTTGTCCACATACTTTTTTTCTAAAAAAAAATAAAATAATATAAAGTCCAATAAACGGATTAATTCAACTATTTTATGCAACAGTCGGACTAATCCAATAGTCATTAAGATGTATGGACTATGCGTATCATGGCTCAATATATTGTGATTATTATATCGTGGCTATATGAGGCAGTTTGTTTGCGCTGTTATCCAAATTGTTGCCGAACACTCCAAATATTCTTTCTTGGTTGAGTTTGATCTCAAAATCAATGGTCACAAGACAAATATAAGGTGAATGAATTCAGATCACATCACGTTATCTCACAAAACCAATTACAACAAGCCAAAGCTTAGGCCAAGCGAGCCAGATTGTGAATTTGTGATGGTTGTTACATTGAGGCTTCAATTAATACCACCACCTGTGTACCAGTCAACCTGAAAAAGTGGGGTATCCATCTTCTAATGGGAGCGCAAGATGAGGATGATGATCAAGAAAAAACTTCTGGAGGTGGCGCATATATGGAGATTTCAACGTCTAGGTTGTGAGGTGAGAGGCTTACCTTTTTAGTATTTCATTAGTTTAGGTTTAGTTATTTGAAAATCAATATTGAAATGCAACAACTTAGACTATTTCATTAGTGATTGTTGATACAATTAATCTAAATGCAACTTTTGTTGTGGTACGCTCTTATGTAATCCTAATTAAATTAATAAAAAAACAAAACCCTAGAAATATTAGAGGATCTACGTAGGGATGGCAACGGGGCGGGTTTGGAACGGGTTTACCTAAATCCATCCCCGCCCCGTTTGATTAATGGCAACTCCATACCCGCCCCGTGCCCCGCGACGGGTTAAATTTTTATATCCATCCCCGCCCCAACGGTATACAAATTGTTTTCATATCCATTGTTGAAGGGGCGGGACGGGGCGGAGCCCCGGCGGGGCAATAAAAATTGCCACCACTATGTTTTAATACAAAAAGCTTGGAAATGACATAACATATATGAATCCCAATAAAAATAAATAAATAAATAGCATGCTCGTAGCATAATTCAAAGAACATAATCAACAAAAATAAGGGTTTAATACAACCAAATCATAACAAGTTCTAAACTCCAACTTTCCACCATAACCAAAACAAAAGCAAGTTTACATCCCAAATTATTCAAAATTGAAGTCTAAAATTAACAAAAGATAACAAAAACACAAAAACTGATTTAAATCCCTTAAATGATCTATTGGCATTTGCAATCTCCCATGTCTTCCACAGTGTTCATGAATTAATCAAAACCTGAAAATTATGAACAAATGAATCGTTTAATACATAAAAAAATATCAACAAATTGAAGAAAATAAAATTTATATGAAAACTATAATTCCAATGATCATCAAGTAGTCTTGAAAAACAACAATCTTATGTTCAACACCGGTGTGCTAAATTGCTAGCTTGTACCAGTTGTACCTTTTCAATAAAAAATACAAATGTTCGTTACAATTCGTGACCCCTTGCCTCTCTGTTCATCAATTAACACATATGCACAGACAGCTTCACTAAAATGCTTCATTAAAGCCGCTACTGATGTTGAGAGAGAAAAAGAAAGCCAATGAAAGAGACTCACCGCTGCTCCTATAGAGACAGATTGGTGTCTACTACTAATTGATAAGGTCTGGTGTTCCACACAAATTTCTGCATCTTTTTCACGCTCAATATCTTCTGTAACTATCAACTATAACACTGCACTCTCCTAAGTCTGGATAATACAAGATAAATCAAAGTATAGTAGTACTAATTAGCACACTAAATTTTAATTTAATACTTGCATAACTCATGTACTATAACAATATCAGATGAGATCAAAACAGATGTTCTTTTAGTAATTGATGGTGACTAATTGTACAAAAAACTATACATTGATTTAACAATAGTTAATATTACTAAACTGCAAAAAGGAGGGGGAAGGAAAAAAAAAAAAAAAAAAAAAAAACTATACCTTGAAGCCTTTTAATCTTTTTCTTCATCACAGATTGTTAACCGAGAGATTCCAGCAGAAAGAGTTGACGCCGATGCATTTGCTGCAAAACAGTGTAAAATTTAAAAAAAAAAAATGAAAAAGAATAAAACTAAATGGGACATTCAATATAAAAGCATATTTAAAATTTCATTACCTTCTAGATCATTCCACAACCAAGATTGAGAACACATCAAAGCCTCTATAAGGTCAGGACTAAGTCGACTGCGATGTGGACTCACCAACCTACCACTTGTACTAAATGCTGATTCAGATGCGACAGTTGATACTGGAATAGCCAAGATGTCTCGAGCCATCAGCTGCAATGTAGGATACTTACTCTTATTTGCATCCCACCAATTTAAAATGTTAAAATCCATGGTGCGTGGCAAGACAGGTTCATCTAAGTAATGGTCTAACTCTGATTTCACATTCCCAATCCTTGACAAATCACTAACAATTATATCATACTCGGCATAAATGTCCCATTCTTTACTTGTAGAGCTTGAAGATGCAGCCAATCCACTTAGATCTTCACTTAGACTAGTTCCCTCCTTACTTCTATCTTGATACTCTTGAAGTAAATCATAACATGCTTGGCGTACACGATCTTTTTGAGAGAAATATTCGTCCCCATGTATCCTCTGAAGAACATGCTCCAAAAAGGTCATTTTATGCCTTGGGTCTAACACTATTGCTATTCCTGCAACAAGATGGCACTCACTCCAATACTTATCAAATTTCTCCATCATACTTGCTGCCATTTTTTTTACCACCTCGTTCTCACAATTGCACCAACTACGCAATGCCAATTTTACCTCACAAATTTTTGGAAAGAGACAATTTGTGGTGACAAATCGAGTCCCAGAGAAAATTTCAGTAATAGAATAAAATAGTTCCAATCTCCGACAAATTTCTTGTGCTAAGCTCCATTCCTCCTCCGATGGCAAAGATGTATAAAGTCTCTCACGTTGTTTCAATCGTGGAAACACATCCTTATAACATATAGCTGTTTCAAGCATCAAATATGTAGAATTCCATCTAGTTTTGCAATCAAGAGACAGTTTTTTATGGCATGGATTTTTTAATTGACTGGCTACCTCCACAAATTTTTCTTCTCTAGCTTGGCTAGCCGTCCAAAAGTGAACACTATCACGAATTTTCCCAATTGCGCCTCCAATTATATCTAGACCATCCTTCACAATCAAGTTTAATATATGTGCAGCACAACGCATATGAAAAATTTTACCATCCAAGAGAAGTGACTTACTACGAATAGACAACTTGTTCGAAAGACCCTGAATCAATGCATCATTGGTTGTACAATTATCTACCGTAATAGTAGATATCTTTCTGTCCAAGTTCCAATCCAGGAAGCAATTCATAAGTGCATCACAGAGAATCTCACTTGTGTGTGGAGAAGGCACATAAACAAACCTGAAAGTATTCATGAATTAAATATAAAAGTTAGTCACTGATGGATAACCAACTTTTGAGATATCATGTTATTGAAACAAAACAAATAAAAAAAGATTAAATACTTACCCAATAATCATATTTTGCAAGCGCCAAAATTCATCAACATAGTGAGCAGTGATTGACATGTAACCTCTTTTCTGTCTAGAAGACCATATATCAGTCGTGATAGCAACTCGACTCTCAAGTTTGTCAAACAACCTATAAGCTTTCACTTTCTTCGACTGATAAAGCTTCATAATATCACTCCTGATTGTATTCCGAGTCATCATTGTGAAGCCGGGCTGGAGGCTGCTAACAAACCTTTTAAATCCAATATGCTCAACAATACTAAGAGGATACTCATGCAAAACAATTGCATTAGCAAGTTCATTCCTTGAAACTTCTTGGGTAAATGTAAAATTGCCAAATTGCATTGACCCATCAACATTTGGAGGACGTGCAATCATTTTTTGACGTATATCAGTATTAGTTCGCTTCACACACCTCTTTAAATGTTGTTTTAAATGACTAGTACCAGATGAAGGTTCAGCAACAAGCTTCTTCTTACAATGATGACAAATAGCAAAAGACCCCCCATTTGGCCCATCCAATATCACATTTTCAAAATCCTTCCAAACTTTTGAAGTCAATTTTCTCTTCCTCGCCTGTGATGTTGCGAGTCCTGTAACCCCTGAACTTGGAGTGGGTGCTGATTCAGAATTGATTTCAATTGGTGCATCAAAACTTGTAGGTTGTGTAGCTGATGCAGATGGCACACTTTCCATATTTTGAGTTGGCTGGGACATTATATCAACCACTTGCTAGATAAAAAAAATATAGAAGTAATTAATTTAAAGGTTCACTTTCAATTGATAATCAAACTGACAAATGAACATGATAAAGGAGAATGAGAAGTGCCAATATAATTGAATAAAACAAAAAAGCTTGGTTTTTTAAAATATAAAAATAAAAATAAAAAATTTAATTCCCAAGTGGGTCATCCACAACCCATTATCACGTAGACGAAAAAAAGAGTAGTTTTTTATAGATTAATCAATCAACAAATGTAAAATCCAAAACAACTAAAACATTATTGCATAGGAGAGACGAAAAAAGAGAAAAAAAATTACCTTCTCAACTAGTATTCAAATTTGTAATAGTCCAGTCTGAGGAGTTCAAGCTTTCATCGTCGTTCTACCTAAAACTCAAGCTATCTGTTCTAAAGGAACGTTATCAGACTCCAATGCACAAGTGGGTATGATAAAATATATATATATAATAAACATAAATATATATATCCACTGAAATAATATATATATATATATATATATATATATATATATATATATATATATATAACTTAAATCATAGACTACATCAAAAAAACAAAAAGATTTACAGAAATCAAAAACCTTAAAAATCAAGACCAAGTACGATATCAGAACTACAAACATAGAGACATAATCATACTATTCATACATGATATCAACGAAATAATATTAGAGTATGAAAAAACAAAAAAAGTCATGAGAGAGAGAAGGATGGAATACCTGATAAAGAGAAACAAAAAAATTAGGGTTGTGTAACTTGTAGAGTTGTTATATTATATAAATTGATTATAAGTTATTAATATTATATAATATATATATATATATATATATAGTTATATGTTTAGCGGGGCGGGGCGGGACAGGGCGGATATGAATTAGAACCCGTACCCGCCCCATGACCCTCGACGGGTACAAAAATATATCCATACCCGCCCCAACGGTATAAAAATTGTTCTCATACCCGTTATTGAAGGGGCGGGACGGGGCGGTAAAAATTGCCACCCCTAGATCTACGCTTTAAATTTCAGAATTTTGAAAAAAACAAAACCCAATAAATCCACTTTGTCAATATCAGAGTCTTACCTTTTATAACATTCCGTTTGAGTTTTCTCTATCTCGTATTGAATGTAATTTTTTTTTTTTAGCAAATGGACGTGGATTTATTCAAATCCGTATTAGTGACTCGAGAGTTTTTTTTGAAATTTGATAATGTACAGTAAAATAATTAATAAAATTTTAATTTGTTTTTACGTTAGGTGAAGCCTATAGTTCTGGATTACCATTTAGGACACCTTCTGCAGGCAATCACAAAAAGTTCATTATTTTATTTCACTTTTAGTGTGTGTGTGTATTTTTTATTTTTTTATTTTTTTTCAGTTGCTGATAAACTAGAGTTGTTCTGGCTTATGTTGGTATTGTGTTAGCATGTTTTTTGCCTCACACGATCGATGGAGTTTACGAGTGTGCCAGAATATATATATATACTCAAAAATGATTTGAACACCAACTATCCCTTTTTGGTGGCTGACTTCAGACAATTGTGCAAAAGAGAGAATAGGAAAAACTCTAGGCTAGATTCTTTTTTCTGCCTTGAATGCAAGGACTTTTTATAGTGTTTAAAAAAAAGGAAATGCAATAAGTAAAATAAATGAATTTAAATCAAGCGACTGAATTGAAATAGAATCTAAATAAAGTGGCTGAATTGAAATTACGTGAAAAGTAAAGAGTCTAATGGAATAAGGTGGCTGAATTTAGATGATTGGAATCTATTTAAAGATTATGATTGAATTCAATTGGATAGAACAAGTATTTTGAATTGTAACAGTATAATCGAACATTGCAAGAGAAAGGTCAGTTGTTGGAACTTAGATTCCTTGAATGGAATTTGCCGGACAATAGAATTAAAGATTTGAATTTGATATTCATGTTTTGTGGGTGGTGGTGGATGGTTTCAATAGGATTACAATTCTTCTATTTATAGAAGCCTATCTAACCAAATTGTCTTTATTCTTTCCTAAAAAATCTCTTTCCTTGATTCTCTATTTGTAGTCATTGAATTTGATGTTGACTAGGTCTCTTCCTTTAAATGAACTTCTTCTCTCCAGCTATATTATAAGAATTTTTCTCCTTCATGTTGGCCTTCCCTTTGAATTAGTCAAAACACATATCCCTTATTTGTCTCAAACTTCTTCACAAACTTGGTAGCCTTACCCTTCAGATTTTATCAACGATGTGTGTATTCATTATATTGCTCTATGTGCTACCTTTAATGACATGTAATAAAACACCACATTATCAAGATTTGCTTCGCTTTGGGTTGTCCACGTCATCGCTGAGGTTGCTGCCAAGTTTTGGTGCCAACAAATGCCCCCTAAATTTCAATGTCTTATCGGCCACCCAAGCCGATAAGATTTTTGAAATTTTAAAGTGTATTGAAAGGAAAATTTTCAGACCATGATTGAACTAAACACATGGAAGAAAATGGCAGCCAACGAGCTTCTAAACTTTATTTCTTTAGGTGGGCCACCTTTAAGTTGGTCTTTATTTTGCATTGGCCAGAACTTGCTTATCCTGATTCTTCCATTATTCCCACAAAGCTAGCTGATACTCTTCAAAATATTGGCCATTTATAAATCCATGATGGACTTTACCGTTGAAGTTTTTCTAAATCTACTAGTAAGGCATGATTGTGATCGGCCGGGATCAAGTTGTTATGTAATGTCATTTGGGCCAATCTAATTGGTTTTTCTAGTGGAAGAACAACATTCTGCTAATATGGAGTTTTTCTGGTGGCTAATCCTCTTGAATTTTTATACTCCTATACAGATTCTGAAAGTACGTCATCCCAAGTTTTTGAATATTCATCTTCTTTAATGATTTTAGTTGTATTAGCTGAAAATACCAAGAATAATATTTCTTTCGTGACCGATTTTTTATCTGCCGGGTAAGCTTTTAGAATGTAAGCGACCATCATGGTCTAACTCCTCCTTGATTCTTTATTTGGCCCTTTAGCAACTGGTCGAGAAAGTTTTATCCTTCGCCAAAATACCTTTCTGACTAATGTTTTTAAGTTATCATCAGCCAGACTTCTTTTCATAGTGGTCGATGCTGGTCGCTCCATTTTATTTGTTCTTTTGAATCTTAACATAACATGATTCTCTTCGTGTAGCACTGCATCGGCCACGTAAAATTTTCTATTAAACGGCCGAATTGTTTTCTTTCACAAATTTCTCTTCAACTTAACCTTTTTTCATTACCATCCCCGCTTTCTTTTCCTGATATTAGGTTGAGAACGACGAGCTAAAAGAATTCTTTCAGCCAACGACGGTTCTGGCAAAGGATTAGATATCACTCTTGGCCAAACATTCTGGTAATCTGGCCGATTTAATCTTGAAATTCTTTTACTTTGTTGAGAAGTGAATCTCTCTTGAACACTTCTTTTAGAAAATCGAGTTAGACTTTTATTTTATGAAAAAATTTAACTTTACATCGGTTAATAACCTTCCACTGAGGGCAGTAACCATGTTGAATGAGAGCAGATTGTGTTTCTCTCAATTGTTCTCAACAACTTTAGGTTGATTCCCTTCATGAACCTTCTTTGGGAGCTTGGCCGATCACATTACTACATGCTATGAAAAGATCACTGTTGAACCCGTGACTTCTGACAGCTTTTTGGAGAATTTCAAAATGTCATCGTCAATTGCCTTTTTTTTTAATACCAACCGCCCCTTTTGGACGATATGGTAGATGGTCGAATGCCGCTTGTGGCTGATTTTGGCTTGGTATGGCAAAATTGAGTGTGAAATATTTCTTCAATCTGCTGCCAATTAAAGATGGAATTTGACGAAAGATGAATATACCACGAGAAGGCTGCCCCTGGCAAAGAGTTTGGGAAAAGCCTCATCTTCAACTAAGCGTTAGTACCAACCACACCACATTAAACTGTGAAGCGGCTGATGTGCTATACGGCTGATTGTTTCCTTCACCACTAAAAGTCACAAAGTTAGGGACATTGTATCCTTTAGGAAACTTTATCAAGTCATATGTGTCTAGATAGGTGACGTAGAGTCAGTTGAATTTGATATTCATGTTTTGTGGGTGGTGTTGGACAGTTTCAATAGGATTACAATTCTTTTATTTATAGAAGCCATCCAACTAAATTGTCGTTATTCTTTGCTAAAAAATCTCTTTCCTTGGTTTTCTCTCTTTTTAGTTACTGAATTTGATGTTGACTAGGTCTCTTCCTTCAAATGAACTTCTCCTCTCCAGCTATATTATATGGATTGCTGGCCTTCTCTTTGAATCAGTCAAAACCTATATTCTTTATTTGTCTCAAACTTCTTCACAAACTTGGCAGCCTTACCCTTCAGATTCTATCAACTATGCATATGTAATCATTATATTGCTCAATGTGTTTCCTTTAATGACATGTAATAAAACACCACATTATTAACACTTGTTTCTCTTTGGTTAATCCACGTCATCGCTGAGGTGGCTGCCAAATTTTTGTGCCAACATATTGTTTATTTCTATTTGAGCATATTTATATATAATTGGACATATTATTGTATTGATTTTGTCGAACTTTGTATTAAGGTTGCTAAACATAGTCTTTGGTCGACCTTTATTTGGTGTTTCAGGTCAAAGGTTCTGGCTACCAATTAGAAGACCCATCACCATAGGAGTCACTACTATTGGTATACTACTACAATTTTTTGCTGCTTATTATTAATTACATGCTGATATATATGATTCCATCTGTGGTTTGTTCTAGAGTTTGAAACAAATTTTTGTCAATTGTTTATGAAATTTCAGGCTGCAATGTTCAAAAGAGAGTGCAACAACAGAAAATAGCATGCTTGGTGCTGTGTCATTGTCGATCTATTTATTTATTATTTATTTTTAAATTTTGAAAATTTGTTGTAGGTATTCTATTTTGCTACAGAATATAGCATGCTTTTTTCAAGTGTGCAGTTTGTGTACTTCTTTCCGAAGTAATTTAAGTACTTTGTGTGGATTTGTTTTGATGTAAAATGTTTTATATTAGGGTTCCGTTTGTTTGGGCATAAGATGTTTTTTGAAAAATATTTTTGTTATATTTTGGTGTTTGGTTATCACCTGCTATTGCATTAAAAATATTCTGCAATGTACTAACAATTAATAAATTATCCCATTGTGAATCTATGATAATCATTTAGTGAATCTAGTCAATGTACATGAAAAAAGATTGTCTTAGCTCGTTTGGCAACTACAGTTGCTTTGTGTTTTTGTTTTGATCCAAAGCAGAAGTAATATTTTTGCTTTTAAAGTGTGTTCAACACTATTTAGAAGCTTATTTGTAGGGGTGGCAAAAATTCCCAACCCGGTGGGGAACCGCCTCGCCCCTGCCCCATTTAAAGCGAGTTTGAAGAACCGTTTACTTAAATGGGGTGGGG